AGGTTATTGCTGCCAAAGGAGGGTCAACCAGTTATTAAATCCAAGGGTTCACATACTTTTTCCACCCTGCACTGTGAATGTTTACATGGTGTGTTCAATAAAAACATAAAAACATATAATTGTTTGTGTGGTTTTAGCTTAAGCAGACTGTGTTTGTCTATTGTTGTGACTTAGATGAAGATCAGAACACATTTTATGACCAATTTATGCAGAAATTCAGGTAGTTCCAAAGGGTTTGCATACTTTTTCTTGCAACTGTAACCAATCATGCACACATTAGTTGTATTTCCGCGATTTGTATCGTTAATCTTATTTAAATTAGTTACTATATCTAGTCTCTTAATTTTGAAGTTAGAAATGTACATTTTATGTGAAGTGTATTAGTTTTAGAGTGTGTGAAATAGTTGTGATACAATGTGTGTTAATGTTCTTATTGAATTGTGTGCTGTATTTTTTGTTGACCTGCCCAGGGACAGCAGGTTGAAATGAGCAAACTGCTATAATCTGATAAAAAGCATCTTATCTCTTTGAGATTGATGTTCTTTTTGTTCATGGTTCCTGACAACTGAACCAATAAACTAAATTAAACAGAATTTCATCTCCATCTTTAAAAACATATACATAAAACGCAGCTCCTCTCAGTCTCTCTCTTCAGCTGTGCTTCTAGTAGCTTCTCCACGGTGTCAGGCTGGGGTCCTCGCTCAATGCTGACTGAAAGTAAAACTACAAATACATCTCCATCTGAGAGGGTTGTAATAATGATTGGAAAAGATCGCTGCTATGTCCGGCAACACAACTTTATATTCATTTCTTGTACTTGTCTCTAAATGTAGCTTTTGTATTTGTGAATTCTTAAATATATGTAGTGCAAAAATAGTGTGTAATTGTAATATTACTGCATTTTGTTGTCTTAGTACTTTGTGCAATGACCATAACAGTAAAATCACTGTTGTTTTTAAACCCTTACCACTTTATCAATTGTATGTATTTCTTTAAAGATTGTAACGCTATTGGTGAAGTTACTGTGTGTAGTTATGTGAAAGAGAACTGGAGCAGCTGTACTGACACAGCACATCACATGCCTCTGATCAATATGTTCACCAATATCAAATGGATTGTATAACCAACACCGCGGGCATAGTGGGGTCAGAACGTGGAACAAAACTCTCTATTCACTACTGAACATTCTGCTATCTGATTCTGGAACATGGAGGAAACAGGAAACTGTTCGTCACATTTTGTTTGCTTCTTTAAATCAAATGTATTCTATATTAGGTTTTGCCTCAACGACATGGACGTCAGAGATTTTAACCCAGGTTTTTTTCTCAGACGCTGCTCTCTGTTCCCCCAGGAGAGCGCTTTGAGCTTCTGATCAGTAAAACATGTTCTAAATAAATCCTGTCTAGTGAAGACTTGGGAAGATGACTGGTGTGTATTCAACAGAAGAGGAGGACTGGTCATGGGGGGGTTCCTGAACATCCATGGGAGACCGTCTGCTTATGTTTGAGGCTGTGCTCTGAACTACACATCTACATCTGAACATCCAGCCAATCAAGTGAGTATTTCGAGTTTCTGCCGCAGCATTAGACTAAAGAAATGCAGGACGAGCCCCCCCCTCCGTAAGAAACACATTCGTTTTTAAGTGGCATATACAGAACTTGTTTAATGTATTGATTCATAATATCCTTTTGGGATTGAACACACCTCACTGTGGGGGAGGGAACAGGGGGGAAACACTCATTTTAAGTAAGGGTCGATTTGCTTAGGATGAATGAACTTGGAGTTTAAAGATGATACAACATTCAAATAAAATAAAAATACATAATAAAATATATCTGATAGAAAAAATGTGATTCTATTCACCATGGCTTTCCAATGTCAGAGTTCATAATAAGACTTTATTAGCGTGTCAGCAGCTGCAACTCATGCATCACTTCCTTCTGAACAAAAGAAACATAAAGTCGGAGGCCTCGGACTTCATTTCCCAGCACGCTCAGCTATCATTTTGCACACTTTTATTACCATCCTTTCAGAAAAAGGGGATTCACCTCTCTGTCACATTGTCAAACATCTCAACATAAACGCAGTGTGGTGTTCATGGGTAATGGGAAAGTAGGTCATCATCTGCAATGTAGATAAAGAAAACCAAAAAGACACAAATAAGGCCTTCACAGGGCACAGTCAGCCCGTCCAGGATGTACAGTTCATCAGAAACAGCCCGGCTCTGCTATCAGAGGATCATCCTGTTGGAAATGTACCAATTCAGCATAATAACAAACTAAGTTAAACTCTTTCTGGAGGGTCCTTCGGTGCATTCATGCGAGGAACAAACACATTCCAAGGGTGAGGTTTGAAATGGCACATTCATAAAATAAGGGCTGCTAACAGAACAGAAGGGGACGTGAATTAGAAGGCTGAGGTGCAAATGCGCTCATAATGTCCCCCCCCCCCCCCCAACATAAGACCTGAGGAGTTACAAAATAAAAGCCCTGAATGAAAGCAAAGCATATCACGTGTACATGGAATGATTGTCTGCTGCATGGACATTTCAGAAAACAGAAAGCAACGGCCCTAATTCAAAGCTAGTCACTTGGTGTGTGTGTGTGTTTGAGAAACCCTGAGTGTGTAACAAAAAGGGAAGGTAGAAAAGAAACTCTGCTTCTCTGTCCAGCCAAGACAAAGTGAAACCAGGGAGCTGGGACCGCTTTAAAATACGTTTTCAAGACCTAAGATGTTAGTCTTTCAAATGGATCATGCTTTCATTTAATATTATCCACTTTTTCTTTGTCAAGCTCACTTCAGATCACCACTGACTTTTGGTCACCATGGATACGTCAAGGTTAAACAAATTGCACCATTAAACTGGAGAAAAATGTTTTTGTTTGTACTCTAGGGGGGACAAGAGGCTATCAGGTAAAACGGAGCAGATTATCAAGATGCAGCAAAAACACAACAAAGATGTGTGTGTTACGAAGAAAGAGATAAAACCCTAAAGATGCTGTTTAGTGGCCTGTTGCAACCAGCAAAGATCATATGACTAAGATGATTTGAGTAGTTGAGTTCTATCATCCATTTGCACCCATGTGATCAACTGCCTCTCATCCCGTACTCTTTCTAATCTGCCTTTCCCCTCTGCTGAAAAGCCAGAACTTCACCTATCAAATATTGCTTGGTTTTTACTATTTACCAAAACATTTAATTTAATATTAACCATGACATACTGTACACTGTTCCATTTCATGTAGAATGTCACATCTTGCACAATCACAATAAGAAAAGTGGAGAAGATATGGGAATGTTGCAGTGGGAGATCAAAGCGGTTATGAATAGGTTATTTCTCAAATGAACTGAATAGGAAGATAAAGACCTTCACAATAGTGAGAGTTCAATCATTAGTTTTCTTTAAATGATTCAACTTATTAACCTTTCAACTATATCCCATTGGATGATAACAGGCTCCAGTGTTTAACATCACAGATGAATGAAGGACTGAATCAAGATGAAGAATACAATGTTAGACGTTATGCAGCTCCCGGTTCTGAGCGACAGACTGTCACAAGAACAGTGGGAGTCAGCTTCTGAAGAGATCAGCTCAGTCCATTCGCCCTCACTGACTCCACACGCTGCATCAAACACCATGCTTTGTGTTAAACGGCTGTGTGACGGAGTGGATCACAGAGTGACTGACTCCGCCACTGGCCCACACACACACACACACACACACACACACACACACACACACACACACACACACACACACACACACACACACACACACACACACACACACACACACACACACATCCCTTTTCCCGCTCCATTTCTGTAGCGCGACCATGAGTGCACGCTTGTGAGTCTACAAATATTTAAACATACATTTAACTATATTACACGATACTTACGTGACGGGCAGCGAACGGAGTTTCGCCGCCGTCTCCCCAGCAAAGGGAATGTGGAAAATGAGTTAATTGTGTAACCTGTTGACGGTGAGCCTGTGGGGAGGGGCTATGGGTTCAAAAGGGACGGTGTTGGCCCTGGAAGACTCATTCGGGAGATTGTTGGAGTGAAGGCAACATCTAGGATGTGTTTAGAGGGATAGACAACCTCATTTGGTAAACTTTGGTTTTATTTAAGTTATACTGTTTCCCTTTTGTCAAACAGTATATCTTTTTTTGTGGCTGTTATAAATAAAGTTTTTGGAGCTTAATTCAACCGACTAAGCCAAACGGACCAATAGAACCCCGTCACAGGCTGATTCATTTAAACAGAGAGAAGAAATAAAAAGTTAAAGCTCCTCCACTGCTTCAAGCCGTTGTCTCAGAGCACAGCACGAGCATTAGTGTGGCAACAACTCACTCTATTAGAAACATTTCCTCCAGTGTTATCACATGTACCTGTCCTTATTATACAGTAGAAGATGCTTAGGTAATTAAGGCCAGAGCCACTATTGGAGAATTTACTGTAGACTGACTAAATGTGTTAAATACCACATTTACACTGAACATACATTAAAATGACAAAAACCTTATTTATTTCATCCAACATTATGTGTTAGGAGCAAAGCGGAGTGTTAAAGGGAACTGAGGTATATTAGCATGCATCTCATGTAAACACATTCCATCACATTCACTCCACAGCCAGAAGAAGCTGTTTGAACCAGCATGTGACAGACAGGTGCGCTCCCCTTTTCTTCGTCAGCACATTTCAACCAACCCTCTCCCAGGAGACAATAACTGTTTCAGGCTTCATCGATACGGCAGGGCACAACAGAAGATGTTCCTAGAACTCATCGGAGCTCTCAGGATGGTAATGGGCCCGGAAGCGTGGACTGGTGGTATTTAGGCACCTCTCCCGCTCATACATAAATAGGTTGGCATACATTCAGTAAAAGCATTTTTTAAATGAAGGATACTTTATCAACATGGGGGGACAAAGGAGTTAGCGCAGGTCTTCATCTTTCTTCCAGAAACAAAAGAAAGGTTCCTCTCAGCTCACGGCCGCTGGTCCATGCAGTCTGAACAGGATGTACTATATTACTTTCTAAGTACTTTCATACTGCCCCCTAACTTGGTCCGTCTTGTATTTAAAACCACGGTTACAAATATTTGCAACACTTTGGGAATATTTCTTCTTCCATGGGTCTCAAAAAGATGAATGGTCAAGTTGTGCACATCCATGAACAATACAACACACCAAAGTCTGTGTGAACCAAGTCCATTTCAATTCACATCTACAAAGTGCATCTTTCTAAATATGTGTGTGTGTATGTGTGTGTGTGTGTGTGTGTGTGTGTGTGTGTGTGTGTGTGTGTGTGTGTGTGTGTGTGTGTGTGTGTGTGTGTGTTTCTAAAGCATGTAAGGTGCAGGTAGGCAGCTCTGTGATGATTTGAAGGGAAGCGGAAAAAAAAAAGGCCAATTTACAAGTCCACTCTTCTCTCATGAGGTGTGGTGCAGGTGGAGACCAATCACTGAAGCTTTTGGAAGCAGGAGCACTTCCTGTCAGAGGCCTGTTGGTCCTCAGCTCAGACTCACAGCCCAAGCAAAGGGTGAGCAGTGGGTGTAGTTATAGGTCCACCTCTGGGGGTGTGGATGAAAGAAAGAGAAGTTCTTCACCCACTGCTGCGATAAGGTAGATTCTCAGTGAGGAGCCCCCCTAGTTATTATTGAATGTGGGAGAAATAGATTGATGGCCGTGGTGCGGGGGTGTTGCTCCGCTGAAATACTTCAAACAGTAGGGAACCATGTAGAGGCTCATATCTCGTAGCTTTAGAATCCCTCTTGGTGGAGGGTTCTACGCCCGACTCGCTGGGTGAATTCTCGGTTAGGAGGTGGAGTTTCCTCCTTTAAATAAATTCTGGACCCAGGCGAGGGGCGTGGCCTGATGTCAGGAGTCATCGTCTGTGTCCTCGATCAGAACCTTGGTGTCCCGGGTCTTGGATCTGGAATGGGAAAGAGGCAGAATGTGTTGATATGAAGGTACAAGTGAAATGGGTGCCGAGTGGCTTGCGACAACAAAATATCTGCCCCCCCTCATCACTGCACCCTCTCTTCTCCTTTTCTCTCTATTTCCTAACAACTACACAGTAATCTTTATTGATTTGCATTTGAGTTTTGACAAACCCAGACTGAACCCTGACGCCCTCACCAACACTGACGGCTCCATTGTCCACCCCTCCACTCACGACCGTCACTTTAACTCCCTCATGAAGACCAGATCTCCGCCCTAAGGAGCGTCCTCCCTCATCCTGATCCATGCCTTCATCCAGACCTGATACTGCAGCAGCATTCTTTACGTTTCACCTGCCTACATCCTCAATAAACATCAATATGTCCAAAAATCAGCTGCACACAGGCTGACCTCCCTGACGCTCTGACCAACCACCCTCCAGCTCTAAGGTCCCCCCCCCCATGTTGCTGAGTGTTGTTGGACTCACTGAGAGGCCAGCCTCGGCCTGCGTAGACTCATGCTGTAGCTCCTCTTCCAGTTCTTCTTGCCCTGCCGGTTCCGGACCCCGTCCTCCTGGTCCATCATCTGCTCCAGCAGCGTTTGGTCGTCTGCGTTGAGCGGAGCCACGCTGATGTCTCTGACGGCCCTGAACTCACCACAGTTATTCAGGTGTTCGTTCTCCAATCGGAAGAAGTTCCACACAAAACGTCTGCAAAGTACAAACACTGACTGTCAATAAAAAACGGGCTACTTACTAAATATTTTAACATTATTGAGTAAAAATTGTCCAAATCCTGAATCAGCAGTCGGTAATATTTTCTTCTGATTGAGAGTACATTGGTCATTACTTGACAGGAAATCAGATCAGATGGAAAAGATAAGACATCTTGGGCTTTGGAAGTTTGATCAGACAATACAAGTGATTAGGGCTCTAGGAAACATTCAGATAGTTTACTGAATAATGGTCCAGTAAGAATAATTGCAAGATTAAGAAAGAAAGAGGCAAAAGAAAAGAAAAAGGGTGAAGACAGAAATCTTTAAAGATATGATGACTGTGTCTACCTAAAGACCTCCATTGGGGCCAGCACAGTGGCCAGGATGTCGGAGATGCCGTGCAGCCCAGAGACTGTGCTGAGGGACACGGTCAGAATCCAGGAGAAGCGCAGCAGCACATCCTCCACTATGGCACTGTAGTAATAGGCCTGGGGGGAGAGAGGATGAGGAGGAGAGCAGTTTTAACACATCATCACAGGATGGGTTATATTGTCAGGGACTCGCGCCTCCTCCTGTGAGGAGATACCTTATGTGGGTACACTATCTCCTCTCTCAGGAAGGTATTCTCCCCTGCGTTCCGGTCAAACAGGCCCCAGTCCATCTTCAGATCCCAGATCAGTGTGTAACAGGAGCTGACCACCAAACAGCCGATATACAGGTAGAGGAAGATCTGTGTGTCAGCGTGGTCTTCAGCTGAGGAGAGACAGAGGGGGGGTGGTATCAGACAGCTTCCACAGCAACAGGTTTATACATTTAAAAATGGCAATGCATGTCCTATTTGTTTTCTGATAAAGCAGACTATTGTATTTGTACTTAATGAAAAGAAGACAGCTATAAGCAGGACCATGAAAAACCATCCCAAGCCTTTAACCTCTACATACATCTGCTAACCTGCTGTTCTACATGACAGCAAAATATACCTATACTTAATATACAATGTCCAAACAAGTGTGCTGAAGAACAAGTGAGAAATAAACTATATTATGTATGCAATAACACATTGCTGTCAGAGTGTTTTGGACTTTTGTTCCCATTGTCTACGGCTTCAGTGGTCATATAGAATTGTTAGCTGTAGATGTGATGAGTGGCAAACATGTTTAAGTAAATAAGAGATGAAAGAATTACAATTCAGACACCTGATATTATTTATTAATTAATTAATTAATTATATAATAACAGCACAAGTACACCTTTGCACAACATGGAGTCATGGTGCGGGGCGTGAAATGCGTCATCCGTTTCATTGAGATGGACTCATACCCTCCCAGAAATGTGAAGAAAAACGTTCTTTGAGCTGCAGGACGGCTGAACTTGAATAAAAAGGCCTTTTTAGTGTGACAGGGAATATTTGTTTTGTATTCATGGCACACAGTAGGAAATGACTCTGCTGTTGCACCACAAACCATCACTAGGTGGCACCACACAACATGTAATGGGACCAAAACACTTTTTATGTTGTTCTTATTATTTGTTTATTCAATTAATTTATATTTCTGTATGATTATTGTATTATTTGTGTGTAGTGCTGCGTACCTGGACTCACATTCAGGTTCAGGTCCGGACTCAAGTCCAGAGGTTCAGGTTCAGGTCCGGACCTTATAAGTCCGGACCTGAACCCATGGCTTGTGTCAAGTTGTATGAGTAACTAAAGTGAACTTATTGTGAGCTAATTATCAATTGAAAATAAACTCATAATCAACTCAAATTCAAACTCGTCAGGTTTATTGTGCTCCCTTCCAACTTGTGTCTAGATTTCTCTACATAGTACAAATGTAAAAAAAACACTTTTTGTCAATTAGTCTACAAATGACTTATGACAGCAACTACAGTGAACTACTACAAAGTTCAAACATGTATTTCATTTACCAAACTAAAGTAACCAAACAGTCCCTGAGCTGACTGAGCCTAAATCCCTAAAACTTTGCTGAAAGGTAGAGTGTAGAGTAGGGGTGCAACAACTAATCGACTTAATCGATTACCAAATTAGTTGCCAACTAATTCAGTCGTCGATTCGTTGGTGATGTCATCACGTGTGTTTTACGCGCAGTTAAGCTCCAACGTTATTGTTCTTTTTATCGGTACTGGAGACATTTAAAATATATATGTCATGTATTATTGCTACAAAAACATTATATCGCAGTCTTAGTGTCGCCAACTCGTTTCTAATATGCAAAAAGACAAACAAATGCGTCCAGACGAGATCTCTCTCCCCCGTCTGTGTGCGAGGGGGCGGGGCAGTTTACACACACGCAGCTGCTACAGTACATGCATGCAACACACTGCGGAGATGGGACTAGAGAACAGGCTCCGAGGTGTGGTTAAACTTTACCCGTCTCGATGTGGACAATGCTCGTTGCCAAAAGTGCAATAAGAGTTTAGCATGTAAGGGCGGTAACACGAGCAATTTGTCTAAACATTTAGCAAAAGTGCACCACATTCAGACGGAGGAATGCACCGGGTTCGACTGTCTTTCTAGTAGCTCTGTAGCCCCATCCACGAGTAACGTTTCCACGTCAGGTGTGTATGCTAGCAGCAACACACAGAGTTAACTACATTATACAAACATGGGTTAATGATTAGAGGTAACTGAGTTATTTATTTTGTTAAAGTTTCAGCTATTCTGTTTACAGTTCTGTCATCACATTATTTAATACGATTTGTTAAAACACTGTGGTTTCTTTTGATGTGAAATATTATTTATTTAATTTAATTAAAAAGCAATGTTCAAAATGTGTTTAGTTAATTCAATAATATATGTATTTTTGAATCAAGTATTCATCTTTATTGTCTTCATTGTTAGTTTCCACATGCCTAAAACAACCTCAAGCTAAATCTAAAACTTGATGGCTAAATAAGAGCGTTTGAGAAATTGTGCAAGGCATACAGTAATAGTCCGAATAGTCGATTAATCGTTTCATTAACCGATAGATTAATCGATTATCAAATTAGTCGTTTGTTGCAGCCCTACAACAGTCCACACCTTTAATATGATTACTTTTCTATTACAGAATTGAAAGATTTAATAAAATGAACTAAAACGATATATATATACAGTGGGGCAAAAAAGTATTTAGTCAGCCACCAATTGTGCAAGTTCTCCCACTTAAAAAGATGAGAGGCCTGTAATTTTCATCCTAGGTATACCTCAACTATGAGAGACAAAATGAGAAAAAAAAATCTAGAAAATCACATAGTCTGATTTTTAAAGACTTTATTTCCAAATTATGGTGGAAAATTAGTATTTGGTCAATAACAAAAGTTCATCTCAATACTTTGTTATATACCCTTAGTTGGCAATGACAGAGGTCAAACGTTTTCTGTAAGTCTTCACAAGGTTTTCACACACTGTTGCTGGTATTTGGCCCATTCCTCCATGCAGATCTCCTCTAGAGCAGTGATGTTTTGGGGCTGTCGCTGGGCAACACGGACTTTCAACTCCCTCCAAAGATTTTCTATGGGGTTGAGATCTGGAGACTGGCGAGGCCACTCCAGGACCTTGAAATGCTTCTTACGAAGCCACTCCTTCGTTGCCCGGGCGGTGTGTTTGGGATCATTGTCATGCTGAAAGACCCAGCCACGTTTCATCTTCAATGCCCTTGCTGATGGAAGGAGGTTGTCACTCAAAATCTCACGATACATGGCCCCATTCATTCTTTCCTTTACACGGATCAGTCGTCCTGGTCCCTTTGCAGAAAAACAGCCCCAAAGCATGATGTTTCCACCCCCATGTTTCACAGTAGGTATGGTGTTCTTTGGATGCAACTCAGCATTCTTTCTCCTCCAAACACGTCTAGTTGAGTTTTTACCAAAAAGTTATAATTTGGTTTCATCTGACCATATGACATTCTCCCAATCCTCTTCTGGATCATCTAAATGCTCTCTAGCAAACTTCAGACGGGCCTGGACATGTACTGGCTTAAGCAGGGGGACACGTCTGGCACTGCAGGATTT